AGGTAGTTCACATGATCCCGTGCGGCCGGATCTGTTTACAAGCCCCGGGCTGCGCAGCGCCTCGAGCCGCCCGGCTGCCCCCCGCGCGAGGCCGCGGGTCCGCGTCTGTGGCGCTCCGGAGGCGAGGCGCGGGTCCCGCGGGGTCGGCCGGCGGCGTGTGTGGGTCTCTGCCGCTCGTCCAGCCGATCTCCCCGCCCCAGCTCCTCCTCCTGGCGACCAACCGCGCGGGCCTGACTGACGAACGCGTCTCCTAGACTCGGCGCCTCAGCATCGCCACAATGTTGCCATTCGGCTGCTGACGTCGGCTGCTCCACGAGGGACGTAAACACGGGCACGTGCCGCACGCTGGTGACGCGACGGCGGCGCACGCAGGCACCGCCCCTCAGTCCCCACCCCCTCCCGCGCTTGGCCACGCACCCGGCTCCCTCCTTCCTTCCGCGCCGTCCTCTCCCCCCGCGGCTGGGACCCGCGGACCCTGGAGGTTGCCAGGGCAGTGAGAGTGGCAGGTGTACCCTGCGGCCCAGGTGGCCTCCGAACCCGGGGAAGAGGAACAGACCGGCAGGAACTGAGGCTTTTCGAGCTCCAGGAATTCAAAGGGACCCTCAAATGTAGGTTTGCCTCCGTTCGCCTTCAGGGAAGCGGGANAGTCCCCACCCCCTCCCGCGCTTGGCCGCGCACCCGGCTCCCTCCTTCCTTCCGCGCCGTCCTCTCGCCCCGCGGCTGGGGCCCCCCGGCCCCGGCGGGTGCCCGGGGCGGGGGAGTGGGAGGGGGGGCCCGCGGCCCCGGGGGCCTCCGAACCCGGGGAAGAGGAACAGACCGGCAGGAACTGAGGCTTTTCGAGCTCCAGGCATTCAAAGGGACCCTCAAATGTAGGTTTGCCTCCGTTCGCCTTCAGGGAAGCGGGATGGGCCGCTCCTGTGTTCACAAAGTATCCTGTAACTTTGTGGGAACCGTGTGCTATATTTACTGTGGCCCCTCAAATTCTTGGATTCTCCACTAACACCCCTGAGACAGAATTTAAAATAGGAAAGGAAGGTGTCTGAAGACAACCAGTAGTATGGGGATCCGAACCCTCGGTGGGAGCGTCGCTGTGCTCCCAGCCCTGCACTCTCCCGAGTTCGCCACAGGGAGGCCCTCATTGGTGGTTTTTATTGCTTCAGATTTCATTATTGTGTACTGTTCTGTGAACCTCGTTTTGAAGTTGCTGGGCTTTAGCTCTTTTGATGTTGCACTACAAAAAATTTATCTCAATCTGAAGAACTCTGCTATTCATAGGAAACTGATGAAATTGCGTAGTACGTTTGGTAATCCAGTTTATATTACTGGCGTTCTCTTTCCTATGAGTGTCCAAGTCACAGTGCAGGTATTCTGCACCACGGTAAAGTGCAATGGGAATTATTTGTCCTTTTACTTTTATCCACATTTAGACAAGGGTACATCAAAAAGTTCGTGGAAAAATAGAATTGGAAGATAATATGAATCTTTCCACGAACTTTTTTTTTTTTTTTTTTTTTTAAGATGACCGATAAGGGGATCTTAACCCTTGACTTGGTGTTGTCAGCACCACGCTCAGCCAGTGAGCGAACCGACCATCCCTATATGGGATCCGAACCCGTGGCCTTGGTGTTATCAGCACCGCACTCTCCCGAGTGCGCCACGGCCGGCCCTTTCCACGAACTTTTTGAAGTACCCTCCTGTGTTAAAACCGTTTGCATTAACCTTGCATTCTCAGGTATGCTTAGTACAAGAGGTCACCGATTTAGGTTGTTTCGATTTAGGCTTTTTCTATATTACCATAATATAAAAGTGATACTCATTCAATAGAAACCATACTTGAACAACACATAACAACCACTGTTTTACACTTTTGGTACAGTATTCAATAAAATACGTGAGATATTTAACACTGTTGACCTAAAAAACAAACAGGGAGAGGCTGTGTAAACGAATAATGAGTTTAACTGGAAATATAACATTACAATGGGAATATACATACCATAGGAAACTGAAAATTCAGAGAAGTTAATGGAAGAGAAAGTTTTGAAGAAACAGTGATGGAGGATTATATAATTCTCTTGGGATAATTATCCTTGGCTACAAGGATCAGTAACAAGAGTGATGCCAGTCTGAGCTTGTTCAAGCAGTTGCTGGGCAGATGTCCTCAGAGAAGCATTTTTTTGTGTGTAGGGTTGCCATGGCTTTTGTGCAATGTTGTGGTTTGCAGAGTCCTTTGTGATAATTTTTATTATCAGAAATTTGTGCGTGGGGCCAGCCCATGGCTCACTCGGGAGAGTGTGGTGCTGATAACACCAAGGTCACAGGTTCGGATTCCATATAGGGATGGCCGGTTCGCTCACTTGGGAGAGCGTGGTGCTGACAACACCAAGTCAAGGGTTAAGATCCCCTTACTGGTCATCTTTTAAAAAAAAAGAAAAGAAATTTGTGCGTGAAAACCCCTCCCCCCATAGCTCTATTTGTCAGGTGTTTTTTTTTTTTTTTTAAACACAAGTGATTCCATTTTGATTCTGACAATTTTCTCAACACTTTAGTATAAAATAGGCTTTATGTTAGATGGCTTTGTACAACTGTAGGCTAATGTAAGAGTTCTTTTTTTTTTTTTTTTTTTTTTTTTTTTTTTTTTTTTTTTTTGTCTTTTTCCGTGTCCGGCAACGGATCGCAACCCGACGTGTTGCCCCTGTACTGGACCGGGGACCGGCAACGGGATTGCAACCCTCGGCTTTGCTCCCGCGCCTCGCTCAGCCAGTGAGCGGGAACCGGTCTGCATGTGGGATCCGAACCCTCGGGCGGGAGCGCCGCCGCACTTCCCAAGCGGTGCACTATCCAGTGCGCCACCGGGCCGGCCCTAATGTAAGAGTTCTGAGCATATTTAAGGTAGGCTATGCTATGTTTAAGTGTATTAAAAGCATTTTCTTTTTTTTTTTTTTTTAATTTTTTTTTTTAAAGATGACCGGTAAGGGGATCTTAACCCTTGACTTGGTGTTGTCAGCACCACGCTCAGCCAGTGAGCAAACCGGCCATCCCTATATGGGATCCGAACCTGTGGCCTTGGTGTTATCAGCACCGCACTCTCCCGAGTGAGCCACAGGCCGGCCCCAAAGCATTTTCAACCAACATATTTTCAACTAACAATGACTTTATAGGGATGTGACCCCATTGTAATTCAAGGAGCATAGGTACATAAGTATTGTACATCGACCAAGCAAGTGGCAAGGCCGATAGTCTGTGAAGGTACTGTAAAAAGTTCAGAGAAAAATTTAATTAAAAGATACTTCCATGAACTTTTTTAGACCCCTTGTATTAGGCAAGTTGAGAAACCTGCCCAGAACTCTAGGGTCTGAGGAAAGGTGGACTGCAGAATACCTGGGCCAAAGCCAGAATGTCCCCTCAAGAAATATCTTTGTCTTTATACTAGTACCTGGTGCCAGGGTCTGACCTCACCTATCTGCACTGGCTGCCTTGACGTAGAACCTCCATCCCTTGTTGACTCCTGCCCCTGCGGCACTCCCAGAATTGACCTCTCTGGACCTGACCTCTATCCTTGGTTTAGGCGCCTACTGTGGATATTTCTTTCTGGTCAAACTGAAGCGTCCACAGCCTCACATGCTTTGGCTTGGCCTGACACAATCTGTCTTGATGCAGGATATCCATTGATTCTCTCAACCAGTCTTTTGGTGCAAAATTGAATGCTGTCTCTATAATTAAATACATTCCCTTTATATAAAAGCTTTAAACATTTCTGTTGTCTCTGTACTGTCTGTATAGTTTAAAATACTTTCTGTCCTATATTTTATATTAGTTTATTCATTTATTAATTCGTTCATCCACCCACTCAATGATTCAAACTGAATCACTACCTTCCATGTGCCTGGCATATTTCCCTTGTATGAAACTGCTTATCCCTGTTCACCCATGCTGCTCCTCTCCATGCAGAGTGAAATCTATTTCCTCTCTCCTTGAATTTGGGTTGCCCTATGATTTGCTCTGACCCATAGAATGTGACAGAAGTGGCACCTTGCCCATCACAGGCCAGGGCCTTAAGAAACCTGGCAGCTCCACTTTGCTCTTGAGGGCCTTGAGCCACTGTGTAAAAATGTTTAACTACTCTGTTAGAGAAAAGAAGGCAGCAGAGGCAGCAGATTTGTGACAGTCCAGCCTAAGACCAGCCATTCCAGCCAACACCATGTGGAGCAGAGACCAGCACTCCCTTCTCAGCCCTGCCTACATTGCTATTAGGTTGGGAGAGGACCACTTAAGATGGAGCCACCCAAAGATACTCAAAATGGCAGTTCCCGCCCTACAGGACATAAAAAGACAAAGGAACTCATAACTGCAACAGAACTCCATGCTGTAGGTCCCCTATGAAACCCTACTTTACATACTAAGGGAATCAGTAATTGCAAACCTAAAAATTCACTATTTAACATAAGGCCTCAACAACTCCCATTGGATATTTCATTTAACTCCTCATTAACATAAGTTATGGCCAATCAGAACACCACAACTCACCAGAAGAAGAAATATAAGCCCAACCCCTGGCAGGGAGGGAGGTCAAGCTAGGTTCTGTACTATGCCTCCACCATGCTGCCTGTGCCAATAAATGACTAAATGTCATTTTTCTCTGCTTAGCCTTTAAAAGGACTAAAATAATTGACAATTCAAGGTTATCCTCCAACTAGAATCTAGACTGTTAAAACTTTTCTGTTGCTGACTGATAGAAAATACACACACAAACCAGCCAGCTGCCAAAAACAAACAAATTTGTCTTAGGTGTGATAAAATGAATGCAAAGTATGTTTACAGTTTAAAAAGGGCAACAGTGAGATTGGAGATGTAAAAAATACCCTCACCCATCCAATGCCAAAGAATGGACACAGAAACACAAGGTACAGCAAAGCGAGACTGTAATAGTGGTCTTGCAAGATCAGGTGTCTGATGGGCAGGCACACCCAAACAGTTACAGCAAGCAATTTATTCCCTAGTGCACAAGTCCCTCCCCCAGTTCCTCACTGGCTGAGTACTACAGGATGTACAGTCTTCCTGGAAGCCACCTAAGATTTATTATCCCCTTGCAAAGCATTCCTTTGTCTGATGGCTCAAGACAAGCCCACGAAAAAGGCCTGTCAAAAGTCCTGAGAAGGGAGAAGAACCAGGAAATGAAGAGAACAAAGGGCTAGTGACCACCCGCCATGTTGAGAAGTCATTTCTCCAAAGTGACATGCTGCTTCTGAGCTCTGTGCATTTAGAGACTCTCCGGGAACAGGTTGAGCCAGTTAAACAACTTTTGGATTGAGCCAGTTAAACACCCTTTGCTAAGCTATTCCTGAAAATGAATCACTTAGGTTATTTTTTCACAGAGATTTGTAATATCAGGTCTTCCTGTCCATGAACATGTCTCCAACAATACCATCTTCTGTAATGACTACTTTCCAAAAAATGTTAAATTTTTCAAAATTTTTATAAGATTGGTTTTTAGGTACCTTATGTTAGGTTTGGCAAGAGGGAGAAAAGAGAGAGACCTGAGCCAGGCACTATTTCAGCCAAGAAGCTTTATTCCACCTGTGTGGAGGAGAGACTGAGTCAGATCAGTTCTTGCCCCCATACAGATTAGGAAGGTTTTATAGGGTTTGAATTAGAGGAAGGGCACTGGGTGGTCGTTTTTGCATAAAAATCTGTTTTGCACAAATTCTGGTTTTTCTCAGAAAGCAAAAAGGTAGGGGGTGGAAAGTCAATTAACATGAGATGGGGGGGCAAGGGGGAAGATGGTGGAAAGTTGCTTATCTGGCTGTGCTGATGTTAAGCTGGCCATGAGGCCAATACCTTATGTTATTGTTGCTATTGCAAATGGTCCCTTTTTCTTTTTCTTTTTTTTTTTTTTTTGTCTTTTGTCTTTTTCCGTGTCCGGCAACGGATCGCAACCCTCAGTGCTGCCCCCGGACTGGACCGGGGACCGGCAACGGGATCGCAACCCTCGGCGCTGCTCCCGTGCCTCGCTCAGCCAGTGAGCGGGAACCCTAACCCTAACCGGTCCGTATGTGGGATCTGAACCCTCGGGCGAGAGCGCCGCCGCGCTTCCCAAGCGGCGCACTATCCAGTGCGCCACCGGGCCGGCCCCCCCTTTTTCTTTTTTAAATCCTGTTAGTAGATAGAAGTGCAGTTGGCTTTGGATTTGCCGTTGACATTTGATCTTTGATAGAGTTTGGATGTGGTGTCCCTGTCAAAACTAATGCGGAAATCTGATCCCCAACGTGGCAGTGCCAGAAGCTGTTTGAATCATGGGGGCGGATCCCTCAGGAATGGATTAATGCTATCTCTCTGGGAGGTAGGTGTCCTGAGTGAGATCTCACTCTATTAGTTCCGGTGAGAGCTGGTTGTTTAAAAGACTCTGGCACCTCCCCTCTCCCT